ATGACATTGTTATGTAGTGTTTCACTCAACAAGCTATTCTGCAAGGCTGTTTTGTATGGTGCGTATTCATGTCTGTAGCAGTTTGTTGATATTAATTTTTTGTTTTGTTTCTCCCATGGTAAAACTTGTAGGTTCTTGGCATTATGATTAGGATGGAGTAGTCGGAGTACTAGACAATATGGTGCGTGATCTTGTTTCCTCTTCCAGCTTACCAGAGAACCCTTTGAACTTATACTGTAAAATCACTTTTAACTAGGGCCATGAAAAAATTATTCAGGAATATGAACTACTCTGAGAACAAGGTGTGAAATTTATTATGTATTTCGTGATGTTTTACTCATGTTTTATGGTGCCAATGCAAATATAAGGCCTGAATGCAGCTTCTAATGGCTGAATACAGCTTATGCCCCAGATCAGAGTAAAGAATGCTAAACAACTGACAGATCTTTTGTCCTTTTTTAATTGAAAAAGCCCTGATATTTGGTGTTTCTTTCACCTCTCAGGTTAATGTATCTTAATTTCAGGTTAATGTATCTTAAAACACTCTTACAACTACTCTATTCTTCTGGGTAGCTATATATATCTTCTATGAAAGACTTTCTGCCCATATGCAAGTACTAAAATGATTTTATGCACTAAAAGAACATCAGAGGGTGTAAAAAAGCTACTTTGATTTTATGTTGGTTCTGATTTTTTTCCTTGGATTTTTGTATCTCGGCAAACCTTGTAAATTTTTAAGTTTTGTTCTGTTTCACTGCAGACAAACCGATTTCACACCAGTTTGAAACAGAAGCTTAAAAATGTCCTGACCATCTTACTTTGTGTGCTCTCTTTTTGAGAAACTGCTGTAGAAAATAAAATGTAGTTGAAGGGCATTTTGTTTACATTATACAGAAACTATGGCTATTTTCTTTAATTGTCCTTGACTTCAACTTGGATTTGATGGGGTTTTTTTGGTAGTATACATGCATGCGATCACAGTTGGTTGATTAAAATGTAATTCGGTGTATTCACAGACTTTTGTTGTGATTAACTTTTATTTTCTTAACTAACACAGAAAAATATTAATGATTTTGCCTTTTAAGATTTAGCCATTTATTTGTTGAATACAAGCAGTAAACTAGATTATTTGCAGGTGTCTTCTACGTTCCTTTAATGGATGCAGCCCAATGTGGAATGATTCGGACGCTGTAAGGGAGCTGTATTCCTTAGACCGTTAGTATCACATGAAGACGCAACAAAACTGGCAGTCATGGTCTGTAAGGTTACTCCATGCACAAGCCCTCTCTTCTGTTTGCGGGCTGAAGTTATGCTGGGCTTGAACTGATGTCACTAAGGGTCTATTGAAAGTGCAAGGATGCTTCCCGCAGACAGGTCTCTTGCTAGAGTTTAAATGCAGATAGTATAAACGCCTAGACTTTGTGGAGGTTCATACTGTTTTAGAAAAGGCTTTTACCTGTCACGTGCATGAGAACTTAACAGGCTTTTCTTTGAGTCCTCACTGAAACAAAAGCACAGATGTCCCATCGTTCAAATTCCTTTCGTTAGCAGGAATCGGATCATCTGTAAGCAGTGGCTGGGGAGGGAACGGTGAAAAGCAGTTTACTCATTCAGGAGTAACTATGTGAACGCCTTCTTTGGGGGCTGTAAGGAATTTTGGACAGTGATACTTCAAGCTGATCGTGCACTGCTTGTCTAGCTGGCGGCCGCGTATAAACCTTTGAGCAAAGTCCAAGAACACGGTTTTGGTAGGAATCCTCAGTTCTCCAGTCCAGGCAGTGTGGGACGAAGGCTGTTACTGTTTCCCATGGACATTATCCAGGAGAGTGGAGCCCTCATACAGCTGTTAGCTATCCAGAAAACGTGGATGACCAGCGTGCAGAGCTGATCTTTGCTTCTGAGGTGACTGAAAATTGAGTGTAGAAGATGAGGAAACATGTAGTCAGAGTTGGCAGATTGGTTCTAGCTTTTTTTTTTTCCCCCCCCCTAGACTGGGGGGAGTTTCAGTCTGAGTCCAGAAAAAAAAAATACTTGTGGAAAAAAAAGCCCAAGTATTTATTTTTAATCTTTCACTGAAGTGTCTGATCAAGAATTGGTTATTGAATTAGAATTATCAAATTTGGTACTTCATGGGGAAGGGCAAATTTTCATTTTAAAATCAATGTTATAGCATTATTAGGCATTCATTAGAATGATGTCATTATTGTAGTTTTATGAATCTACGTAAGTAGCTTTTCATTTGGAGAAGTTATTCTGTGTTTTAAAAGTAAGTTCATCTTCTGTCTCTTATGACATCCTCATTATGAAAGATAGCTTTGATACCACACAAACTTGTTTAGAGGCTTGCCAATCTGAATTTTTCCTCTTCCCCTTACCCCAAGTGGAAAGACTTACTAGAAAGTTTGTTGCATTTGTTTTTCACTTGAATATTTTAGCAAGACAGATAATCTGTTAAATAAAATTCTATCTTCCTTTTTAACTAGTGTTAAAGCTGAGCTATTTTAAATGGATTACATTGCATTACAGAACATACAATTGCAGTGTAAGGTATTTGTTGCCTGATGACTACAGGACTAAAGGTTATAGGTTGCTCTGGCTTCTGTATTACACACTTCAAAAATAATAGACTGTTAGAGCTCAGTTTCTAGAAATAGCCCTTAAAAGTGCAGAAGGCTTGGAACTTGTTCCTGCTTGAAGTGTGGGTTTTTAATGTGATGAAAGAAGAGCTATAATAGGATAATAAAACTCAGCAGTAATTTCATCTCTTGCTGTCCTGTAGTAGGCCTTCAAAGAGTTGTCCAGTCACTTAAGATGTGGAGTGTCTCATCCATGTTGGCAAGCTTCTGTGGAAACATTCATCGGATATAAAGAAAGGTCTTTAGCAGTTCTTCATTAAAAATAATCTAATATTTGACCACTAAAAATATAGTTATTCCAGAAGAAGATTATGGCTGAACAGTGTGATTTATTGCATCTTAATATATTACTGAATGCTGTACTGATTAGTGTCATTAGCTGCTTGACTTTTGGCGAACTCAGTGTTCTTTTGAAAAAGGTTTTATATTGCTGCTATCACTTAGGGAGCCCCAAACACAGGAAGATCTCATGTACATATATAGGATTTAAATTTTATCCGAAAAAGTGATTTAAGCTGCAATTTTTTTATCTAATAAATTGCATTCTCCTTTTATGTGACAATGAGCAAAACACCCTGCCTTTTGTGGTCTTGGGCATCCACAGCAAAGCCCTTTTAAACCTGTTCCTTGACTTTTTATTGTATGTCACTGCTTTTAGAGTTTACATTTGCAGGAGTAGGGCAGAACAAAGCCTCTTGAGGTTTTATGGAATGCTCGGTATTAAAAGGGATATGCATACTTATGTTTACATGTTAAAACAACAAACAAACAAACAGAAAACCTAATGATTAAAGGCACCAGCTTTGTCAAAAAAAAAAAAAAAAAAGGAAAAGAAAAGCTACAGTCATAAGTGCGACTGCCCTGTAGTGCAGCTGAGTCTGGCGATGCAGCAATCTGGCAGTGTGGAACTGATTTGAAGAAGCTGGTAATTGGTATAGAAAATTAGCCTTGAGATTGTTTTGTCTTCATCTGAGATTTCATTCAGTCGTTTGTTTTAATATATTTGAGTTTACAATGTATTTTTTAAAACTGCATCTAAAAATCCATTAGTCCTTTCAGGAAGTCATTCCGCATGGCTTTGTCAGCAGAAGTGATTTTTGTGGAAGTTTGAGCTCAATATTGTAAAGTGATGAATGTCTGTTGTGAAACTCAAAAGCGTGCACAAATTGTCAGCAGTGGGTCTTTGCAGGACCTGCTCTGATGGCTTGACCTTTACCTGGAACAACTTCTGAAAATCTGAGTTTCAGAAACATGTTTGTAGCCAAAAATCCAATATGAGAAAATTAGTAAGACTGCAATAAAGCAGCAACACGTTGCACCTTTAGAAGTATTATAGCCTAACTAATATCACTGTGTTAAAGTCTACAGTGTGTGCTAAAAATCTGAATTCAACTAAGTGATGTAGATATGGGGTTGTTTTGGTTTGGGGAGGATTTTTTTTTTTTTTTAAAGGATTCTTAAATTAAGGGGTATCGGCCTGTTGAGTATATTATGTGGGTATCAGTTTAAGTGTGATGCTCTTTTATTTTTTTTTAAAGGTGTGACTCCGAAGCTGGTAACTTAACTACTCTTACAAATAATAGTGTTCATGTTCACTGTCCTCAAGCAGCAGAAAAGTGATTTTGACTTCTAGGGCAGATGAATTTGTGTTCTGAAGCATTAATTCTTTTTTCTAATGATAATGTGACTGGACACTAATTATCCTTTGGAATGAGGAGCTTGAGCTCATACTGCTCCTAAACCATTTGTTCTTTGGTTGAGGATAGTTTATCACATCTAGAGACTTTTTGGCCTTTTTTCCTACTCCCTGAGAAGGAGCCGTGCATTTGGAATTTGCAATAATGAACGGAATATACAAGTTTTGGTTACAATGCAATAGAAACTATAAATTAAATATTCATGCTATGTGAGAAATCCAATCCTGACTTAGAAGTCAGAACTTTTATTTACCAAGCTGTAATGTTAGGAGTCTTTTTGCTTTGAATATATTGAGTGAACTTTAGAACTGAATTTGTATTGAGTGCAAGAGCTGTATGATTGCTTTCTCCTGATCAGTAGTTAATTTTGCATAACTAATACTCTCGAGATAGTGTGCTTTCCCTTATCAAAAAATATCCTTGGGAATCCCTCCCTCTATACTGATAAATTACTGGCAGCAAGTTCTCCGTTCCGTTTTGCGCTAGAGCAGAGGGATGTCTCTTGGTCTGGGCAGGAGGCCTGAAATTCCAGAGCTCTCACCTTGGCTACTCGCTCCGCCGCCTGCCTCCGGCAAAATTACTTACCCTTTTTTTTTAGCTTCAGTTGCTGCACCTGTGAAATGGAGACAATGCCTCCTCACAGGAATGTTTTGCAAATTATGTAGGTGGAGTTGAGCACCTTCAAAGTGAAATATCTCCTTTTTTTAAAAAAAGTCTTTTAAGATGTTTTGGTGTAGCTCCCCGAAGGGGATGACCTAGCCTAGTGCCTTGCTGCTATCAAGAGGCACATCAGGAGATCCTGTTCCTGGCAGCGTGGTCTCACTCCTCGGCCTGCACTAGCTGGTGTGTCTGTTAGTTGGGTCAGCTGGGACTAAATGAATGCCAGCCTCGATGGTAAGCGGTTAAACAGCCTGTTCTGCTGCATCTGTTGAGGCAATTTATCAAATATTTTGATAGCTATTTATTTAGGCATCTCAATTGCCTTTTTGGTATGTGTAGCATTCTTCTATGAAGAGGAGAATTTTTTTTTTTATTTTTAAAAACCAAAAATTGCTTTAAATAGAAAGGCATCCCAGTTTACAGCTGTGTATGAATTTGTTGTGCCCTTCAGCACTCTCTACAGATACGCAGTAAAAATACCCATTTTTATTTCCGTGATTGCTAGAATTATTTTTGTGATGATTTAATTCAGTTTTGTTAAAATGTAAAGTACCTAGAATGAAGGTAAATTTAAATTTAAAAAAAAAAAAAAAAAGAAATAAATGTTGGTTTGAGTGTCTAATTGCCCTATCAGTTAGAGGAAGTCTGACTGCTTGGAAAAATTATAAAAGGTACTGATTTAAAAAAAATTAACATTAATGATGTTTTGTTTGGTTCAGTTCTTCTTTTTGTCCGGTAAAACATTTCTAATTAGAGTATTGTCTGTTTTTACTAGAACAAGTTGAAATCATCACAGAAGGATAAAGTGCGTCAGTTTATGGTCTTCACGCAATCTAGTGAAAAGACAGCAGTGAGTTGTCTGTCTCAAAACGACTGGAAGTTAGATGTTGCAACAGACAACTTTTTCCAAAATCCTGAACTTTATATACGGGAGAGTGTTAAAGGATCATTGGACAGAAAGAAGTTAGAACAACTATATAACAGATACAAAGGTGAGTACACTGAATTTTAAGGTTTATTTCCTAGCTGTATGTATGTATTCTTCATTACAGTGTATTATTGCAGCTGTGCTCTTGTGCTTGGAAATATTAACTGACTCATTTTTTCTATTATTAATAATACAAGTTAGAAGGGGGAATATATGTAGGCTTCCACTTCACAAGCATTATGTGCAGTTACTTTACGTGCTCTAAATATATGTACCTTTATACAAGATTAGGGTCTGGGACTGGAATTGCATGTACATTGAGTAACTGTAATGGTTAACATGAATTTTAGGTGATTCTACTGGGGAAAGCACATCACTCAGGACTCCATCCTGACAGAGTGAAAGGTTGCATACTAAGGATGGATTCTACCTTAATTTTTATTCATTTTGTGCTTATTATCAGATAGTTACAGAGTGGAAGAGGAAACAAAGTCTCTTTGTCTGTTATATAGCCAGTGTTCAACTGATGATATCCTGCCACGAATAGTAAAGTGGATTCAATACAGTAGAACAAATTCCCCGTTTTAGCACTTCAAAAAAATCTACAAATGAGTGCTGCATTTTCTGTCAGTTTTCATATGCGTGCATAATCCAAATACCATTTTCCTGAAGTCTTTGTTGGCTTGCATTAGTAGATCTTTATTAGTGCACTTGAAATGTGAGCATCTCACTTCCAGACCAGATGTTGATTCCTTGGTGGAAAGAGGAGTGTGCCTGGCTGACTTGGAATCGGTAATGGGGCAGCATAACTTGGAGGTTACCGTGTTCAATCTCATGCATGCTGGTGATGCCAGAAAATGCATAAAACTAATGTCGACTTAGTAGTTTATGGGCAGATTTTATTACTGCATCAGTACAGCTTGCACGCGGACACTGCAGAATTTCTTGTAATGGTACACAGATTGGCAGTGTTACCAAAGATGCTAATAATTAAGTGTGCTGGTGGGAAAGGACCACTGTTCTCTGTATGGAATGAGTCAGAGTATCATGCATATTATTAGGCAGAAACAAATGTTTGCGGTGCTTTTGTCTCTCAGTGGAAATAACACAAGCTTCATTGTACAGGAGGCTTTATTGTAGTAACTGCCTCAATTGTTAAAGCTTAACCATTGAAAATACTAATTTAATTTTGTCTTTAAAATGTTCACTTAAAAGGGCTGATCCCAAAAATGGCTTCTTGCAAATGTTTGCTTATCCTAAGTTCAGCTGTTTAATAAATTGGCTTTTTCCAAAATCTGTTTTTCTTGATGTACTTAACTTTTTATATCCCAAAGATCCTCAAGATGAAAATAAAATTGGTATAGATGGTATACAGCAGTTTTGTGATGATCTAGCTCTTGACCCAGCCAGCATCACTGTACTCATCATTGCATGGAAATTCCGAGCTGCAACGCAGTGTGAATTTTCAAAGCTGGAATTCATGGATGGAATGACTGAGCTAGGGTAAGTGTGCAGTACGTATTGGACACTGACCGTGTAATTCGGTATTAGAAGCTGGAATGTATGGTGAAACGGCCCTGTTTGGGGGAATTCACAGTCACATTGTGCTTTCAGACTAAAGAGACTTTTCGGAGTCTAGCATCACTTGTCTGCTTCTGTAAAAACGCATCTGCTGGCAGCGTGCTAGATGATTAGTGACCAAGAGAAGGGAGGCAACTGTGAGTGCTACTTGCCTTGGTTGCGTGAGTGTTTCAGTTAGTTGCCATAGAGCTTCTCAGAGGGGTAAAGCAAGGATATGAGTCTGTAGTCTAGCATACCTGGGTTCTCTCTGCCTATGAGAATGTAGTAATCTTTATCACATTTTTAGAAGAATCTTGTGGGTTATAGAATCCGATGTATCAGCTAGTATGTGCAAACAGCAATGTGAAGAAATAACAACAAAGTGAAATTACTGCATGGGTGCAGACTAAATAAGGCTTCCTGAATTTTGTTTTAATAATTGTATTGTATTCCACAAAAAGCTTGTAAATTTGTTATAACTCCTCTATTTTATGGCAAAATGAATAATATATAAACAAACATGCTTTTTAAAATGCAGATGTGACAGCATAGAAAAACTCAAGGCCCAGATTCCTAAAATGGAACAAGAATTAAAAGAGCCAGGAAGATTTAAGGATTTTTATCAGTTTACTTTCAACTTTGCAAAGAATCCAGGACAGAAAGGTTTAGGTATGTATTCTTAATTATAAACATTTATTTGTAAATATGGGAAATGACTGATTAAAGCAGTAAGTGAAAGTTGTATTGTGATCCGGTGAGTGTGAAAGATAATCATCCTTAGGATAAAATACATGTCTCTTGTGGAAGACAGATGTCAATTTAAGGTGTTCAAATTGATAGAAATATCCGCATCATTAATATAGACTACAAAGCTTTATGACAGAGGTTTATTCTTTCACTAAGAGTGTGTGCAGTTCTCAGTAAGCACGATGGATTATGGCCTTACATTAAAGTCATAATTGTATCACTTAGAATTTGCAGCACTGAACAGATTAATTGAATTTTCCTTTTTAGGATGCATTTAAGCTGTAAAACTCTTAAGTACACTTGTACAGTCTCTTGTAACACTGAAAATGCTTGCAAGTGTCTTGGCAAAATAGAACTGGAATAGTACAAATAGATTTCTATATCCTGGGCTTGATGCCTGTTGTTATTGTGCCATTGGTAATAGGTGCCTATCTACAACCTTTTTTTTCCCTCAGCTCACTGAATGGTTTTTTTATTATTTCGGAGCTCTTCTGCTGATTGTGTTTTTGATTAGTGTAACAGGTGAAGTGGAAGAATCACTTATTAAAAATAATGACAGAACACCACAGCTCTGATGGAACTAAATGAACAAACTGTAGATCTTGTCTATTCAAAAGTGAGGGAACAAAAATTTCTTTCAAGCAGCAGTGTTAACCAGCTAGAGTGCACATTCATTTATCTACAGTATAGTTGAGATATTAGCCATAACTACTATTTCATGACTGTTAACTGTCTTATTTTTGAGAAGTAAAATACTGATTTGCCAGTAGATTCTTCTCAGCAGCTTATGAATTTATTTTTCTCAGTGCTTTAAACTGACTGCCACTGACCAGCTTTGTATTCATGTGCTATGAAAAGATGAGCGTTCTGCTTTGATTTTATTGTCTTTTATATGTGGACCAACTTCTGGCTTTAAAATGAATAATGAAAAATAAGTAAGCAAGAGCTCTGTGTCTTTATTTCGACTCTGTGTCATGAACATCGTTCTGTATCCTGTTTTTTGTTTTCAATTGGATCGTGAGCTTCATTGTCTTTGAAGAAGCTAAAGGAGCACTGCTGAACTGTTTGAAAATACTTGTGCATGCATGTAGTTAGACCTGAATCCTTCAAATTAATGAATGGACTGATTCTTATTTCTTGTAGAAAGTCCTGTTAATTTTGTTAGGCTGCTACAACAAGAATAATGTGAGATTAATCTCTCAATTGTGAGAAGATAGAAGTTGGGTTATGGAGAGGTGTCTGTGGAATCAGTTCTGCAATGTCAATGGTTGCAGGGTTTTGGGTGTGGGTGGTTTTTTTTATGGTTGCCATTGTAACATTTGTATGTTGTTTTTAGTCTTTAAACAGCTTTACGCAACAAGGATTATTTTGCAGAATCCCTATAACGTGGTAAAAGTGAAATGGTAGATTACAATGATATAATAATTACAATTATAATTACATGATCATTTTAATTAATTTTCTCAAAGCTTCAGAATAACAGAACTGTCAGATGTAGTACTTACCTCTTATTTTCTTCTCCATATTTCTGAGGTATAAGGAAGAATTAAATTATTTTTCTGAATTTTTGTTTTTCTCCCTAGCCCCATATAGAAATCAATCTTTTGAGTATCCCAGATGAAACAGACTTCAGTAAAAATTATTTACCAGGAAAACTCAGTCATTTGCAAAACTAAGTCCTTCGCTTTATTTCACATTCATCTTAAAGCTGCTTTATGCAGGTTAAGCTCTAACAGTGACCAAGACAAGGATAGTTTTCTCAGATCCATGTAGCATATACGTAGTATAAGGTGGGCTTTTTTGTGTGTGTTTGGGTTTTTTAAGTCTGGGTCTGGAAGTGCTGTAGAACTGAGCTTAAAATGTGGATGCTTACTAGCCCTTTTGGTGCCAATAAACACACAGTTCTAGGCATGAATTTACAGTGGGGCAGAATAATTCTGGAAACCCTAAAGCAAAGGAATATTGGGAGAAGTACAGTACTGAAAAGTAAGTGCTCCTAGTTAGGCAATTAATTTTGGAGTGTCTAAATAAGTGCTTGTAGGAACTTGCAAATTGATTTTAATGTATATTGGTCTCTAATCTTCCAAACCTTGTGTAGTAGCTCAGGTACAGTTCTGGAAATGCATTTCCTCAGCATAATTCCTTACTACCATGTAAGTAATGTGGATGTCTTGAAAGTTCTTGTGATATTTGCATACCATTTGAGAATACCTTTTAGCTGATGTTTGTCTCAAACATTGTTTGCTTCTCTTGCATCTCGCTGGATAAAACTGGGATCATCTATTTTGAGACTCTCACATTTGATCCACGAGGACTTTCCTGAGCATTCTTACACTTTTTAATGAAAACCTAAAATTACATTTTGCTTTCTAATTTTGTGGTTTAGTGAAATTTCTTTTAAAACATGTAGTTTGTCCTAAGGCATTATGTCTTTGTGCTTTACGTGTTTGGACTCATATAATGAGTTTGAGTTTGCAGCATCCTGAGATCTGTTTTTTCAAAGGCATTTGCTTACCCACAAGAATAATCTCAAAATTGTATAAGCATGTTGAAAATGCACAGTTTATAGTGTTTGTTTATAAACCACTGTAACTATGCCGTGATTTGATGTCCTTGCATTTTTGTATGCCTGCTATTAATGCATCACAAGTAAATAAAACTTAATTTTCTAATCACTTTCCTTGAGGAACTGATCAGCTTAATCTGAAGTTTGTATCTCTTCATTTTTAGAAAGACAGTAGTTTTAGTTGAAAGCTGAAGTTCATATTTTTGTATCTGAATCTTCTGTTAAAGAGAGATACCTAGCCTTTATACTACTTAATAAGTTGTTATTTTCACATATGGCTTATTTACTGAGGATCTGTGACTTCTGTTTAATTTGTCTCTGCTTCTTGAAAGTCAGATTTGTGCTTTTGTCTGAAATCACACCCCTTTTCAGCTGCTGGAAAACCCTCCACAAATTTTATTCTTTACTTTGGTCAGGAAGCAGCATAATGTGAATATGCTGTTTGAGAAGAACTTTTAATGTTAAAGACACTAAACAATTCAGAAACTCCCCCCATCACCTTCCAGTTTCCCTTCAACGATGCAGACTTCATGCTTTGTTTTGTTTGCTATTGATTTCACTTCTTAAGATCTGCCTCCTTGTTCTTTTAAATAGTTTGGACATCTGTACCTCCCTGTTCTTTTAAATAGTTTGAGCATCTGGGAGGAAGGGATTAGTTTTCTTGGATTTTTTTTTTTTCTTTTTTCTTTTTTTTTTCCTGAGGTGCAAGTTGATCATGTTGCCTCTTCTCTCTGTTCTTGCAAGAGGAGGATTGCTTACAGAAGAAATTTGCTAGACTGCAAAATATATAAGAACTTTTGTTAAGAAAGAGGTCACTTAACTAGGTATCCTTTTGGGGTTACTGTATGTACTTGGTGACAGATACTGAATTCAGTAAGATCAAGGTCAGTAGTATTTTGTTACAGAGGTCCGTGTTAATTCCTGGTGATAGACATCACCTCAGGTAGAGATTTATAACTCGGATATGTAACTTTCTCTTGTCAGCTAACATGTTACTGTGTGCCACTAATAAACAGTAAATGCATGTCAGTTTAGCCTTCGGCAAATACCAGGGAGGTGAGGTTTGGTTTTTATTCCTTACTCGTTAGACTAACCAGTCTCCTTTCCTAACTGCTGCGCTGTAACAGCACCCACTGCTGACAGCAGCACGCAGTTGCCCGACGGGCAGTAGGTAGGTTCTTGTTCCCGAGTCCTCCTGAGAAACAGTTTCAGAACAAGGGAGACCTTAACAGGAGTGTTTGGAAAAAAACCGAAAACAACAACAAAACACCCCAAACCGAAAACCCTCTCCCTCCAAACCCAACCCAACCCAAAAAAGACCAGCAACTAACAAACTGGATATCAACCATCTGCTTGTACTGTACTTAAAAGATTTTTTATTTTTTTTCAAAAGGAAGCCTGATGGCAGAAATGAACCCTTGACAAAAACTGTGTTACAATGCCAGCACCTCGAACAAGGTTGCCCTAAAAATGAGATAATAAAATTATAGTTTTATGTAAATTGTATTATATATATTAAAATTAAAGCAGATCTTACTACAAAATGCTGCAAATTTTCAAGTCGAAAGCATTTCTAAGACAAAAATATTTCACTGAATTTTAACTGTTGTTAGGTAGGAAAAGGCATGAAATATCCTTGTGTGGTTGGATATTTTAGATACTAATACTAGCAATTTTCAGTTCTATAGTCAAGTGATAGTATCAAAATCTGTAAAATTTTTGTGTAACACTTTATGGTTGCTTTTTTTTGTAAAGGATCCACGTGTATTTTTGCATTAGATTAATCTTTTCACCTTTATGCATATATGGTTCATCTTAGTGTTAAGATACCTGTGGAGATTGTATGTTTGAAATGTATATCTCTAAAAGTAATGTATTTTAATGTTACAGATTTAGAAATGGCCATTGCCTACTGGAATTTAGTACTTAATGGAAGATTTAAATTTCTAGACTTGTGGAACAAATTTTTGTTGGTAAGTTTAAATCTTTACATAAACTGGACTGCACTATTTTCAAAACTTGGAAGATAAATATGTTTAAATTATTGAGTAGATGAGATAACTGATTTGGCCCCGACCCCAGATACTGCACTTCATGGTGTGTACAAGAGAAATATATGTTTTGGGGATATGGATGTGTCCAAGGCTGTAAAAATGAATGTGTATAAGGGTGTGTTAATTTATATTTTTTAAACATAAATTTTCTACCCCTTCAAACAGGAACATCATAAAAGATCAATTCCTAAGGATACCTGGAACCTTCTTCTAGACTTTAGTACAATGATAGCAGATGATATGTCTAACTATGATGAGGAAGGTAAACATTTCCATTTTCTTTAACTTCTAGCGGTGTTTTATGTTACACTTACTACTGTGTACCTGCTTCGGCACAGCTGTCTAAGGGCAGCATAGTTAAAATATCACCGGTGATCTAGAGCTCAGTTACAGCTACTTCAGTGCATGTTATCATCTATTTCTTATGGCAGGTTTAAAAAAAATGCTGAAATTTTCTTAAATCCATTTTCTTTTTTCCTTCTATCCGAGCTCAAGTACTAATTCTTCCTTTTTGAGACAAACCCTGATACCTGTCCGTATAAAACCACCAATTCTCTGTCAGCACAGTTCTTGGCATTTTCAACTAGCTGACCAATTCCGTGGCCTGTGCATTTCTTCGTAGGGCTTTTTGGTTATTGCATTTCTTAGCTGAGAATATTTTTTGAGTTTGGTTGCTTTGCTTTATGTGAAGATTGGACATGTAGTGATACGAAAGCAAAGCTGGCAGCTTACAAGGATTGCTAACAATAAGTTGTACTCTACCAAGCGTGTTTCTTGTAAACTCTTGTATTGATCTTTCCTCTTCCAGTCCATCTGTAGCCAAGAACAGCTTCAATCATTGGCAGCAGATCAGTTGAGTGGAGGAAACTGTAAACTTCTGATACTTCCAGAGCACAGGGGAGCAAACTTCTACAACTTTATTTAATAATTATGGACAGTTATCATACCTTTATCATTGAGCAAATGGGCCGCTGCCCACAATAAATCAAGGTAGTTTAGAAAGATTAAGGGCAGAAAACATGTTTTAATGATATGGAATAAAAAATTTTTAAGTGGGGGGGAAAGAAACCCAACAGCCCACAGATATTTTTAACTTTCACATGAGCATCATGCACATGACTGGGGACCTCTTTGGATATGGCTGCTCATAATATGTAAAATATTGATATGCATTTTAACTACCTCTTGATAAGAAATATAGAAGAGTACATAAAGTGTAAAACCAGCTTCTAGGGCATCATACTATATTGCTGGTTATCAGAGTACATTTTTCTGTTTTCAGGTATGGCTAAGTAGGCTGATTCTAAAAGATGAGCACTGCATTCACATGGAAAAATCAAATTGTGAGCAGTAAATGCTGTAGTATGTTAAGATATGCTGCTGGTTACAGCTTAGACTGCTTCATCCAATGTTCAAAATTTTTTTTTAAGCAGCTATTTCCATCCTGGAGATCAAGTTCTAGTGCCAGGAACTGGACAGTTTTAAGCTAGAATTTTTGTTGGCTTTTTTTTTTTTTTTTTTTTTTTTTGTCAGGAAGATGAAGGAAGTATGACACTTAAAAGGGATGTGTATCAACTGGGTTTAAATGATGTAGAAATCTTTAACCAGCTCTTAAATTTCAAGCACGAAAATCAAATTACAATTTTTTGCTTGAAAGTATGCCTAAATAAAGACTGGAAAATAAATAACTTACTCAGATCTGAAGCTTTAAAAGTAATGCCTTTTTTTTTTTTTTTTTTTTTTTCTTTTCCTTTTAGGGGCATGGCCAGTTCTTATTGATGACTTTGTGGAATTTGCACGCCCTCAAATTGCTGGGACAAAAAGTACGACAGTGTAGCACTAAAGGACCCTTCTAGAGTGTACATAGTCTGTACAAATACCTGAAATGGAAAATTGCACAGTCAATTTCTGCTGGCTGGACTGAACTGAAGATCAATCCTCACAATATGGCTGAGGGTTGAGACAAACCTTTAAGGATACATCTTGGACCATATCATATTTCATTCTTCTACTGGTGGTTTGGGCTTTTCTTCTAGTCTGGACCACTCTTGCCCGTTAAAATTCCAACATTGTGGATTTCATCATGGATTTTTTATTTTTTTTTTTGGTGGACCGCCCTAGTTTCATCTCCCATAAGTCCTAGAAGCTTTATAATGATTTTGAGGTTTCTGGTTTCACATAAAGCACAATGCTGGTCATCATCAGACAACTGTTGTATGGCATCTGAATTATACCAATCAACATCAAAACAATTTTTAACAGAATCCTTAAATATACACTTGGGGCTAGTTGCAAAGACTGTATTGATAGCACTTCCTGTGAGAGTGATATATTTAAGTGTACTGGGTCCGATATTTTTTTTTTCTTTTCTGGAAAAGTACAGGTATCGTCTAAGTGAGTTTGAATATCTGGTAAAAACAATTACAGAAATAAGTATGAAAACCCAAGGTTGTTGATACTGGGGTATCTAGGTGCCTATCTGAATGGTTTGATTGTACATCAGCTGACTGTGAGAGCAGTTGAAGTACGACACAACTACTGTGCACTTAAAGCACCCGTGTTTAATGTTATAGTCAGCCTTCAGTGAGCGTCATTGAGATAAGCTGTGTGAGTCATGATAGAATCTAATATTCTCTAGGTTATTATGTAAGAAATCAGATTTCATTACAGTTTTGAAATGCTTATCTGTCTGTCAAAGAAAGGTTTTTCATTTCTGTGGAAATCTCAAACTTGAATATACTGAATTTGTGTCTTAAATGTTTGCTACACAATACAGTATTTTAAATGGAGACATGTAATTTTTATGGTTGAGGTATGATGAAACAAATGGCCCTGTTGTACAAGAAGCTGGTGAGTTTGATGTGAATCTAAGGTTTTGAAAACATTACCTTAGGAAGTAAGTTAAATCTTTATAACATAGAGGTACTGCCATTGTGGATGACACCCATTTTTTAATTATTTTGTTGAGTTTTTCTTAAATTGACATATCACTGTGGTTGCCAAATATAGAAATTAAGAGTAAAGCTTTCCCAAACAAGCACAGACCAGATATGAAATACTACACTGGCTTGCTTTGTTTAAATTATTGTGTTGATCATCACTACTTCTTATTGTTTTACTGCATTTAACTAAATCAAGTTAACTTTGTTCAAAACAGGTTTTTATCAGATGCAGTTCTTTATTTTTAATATTACAAGAGCTTTCGAGCTGCTTTTGTGCTAAACATGGTCTTTTACTCCTCACTTAGTTACTTGTGAAGAAATTTGGTAAAGACTGTGTAAAACCAGCTGGAAAATACCAAGCTCCAGGTGAAAAGAAAGACTAGTTACAAGTAAGGATAGAGGTTAAAATCCATGCTCTAAATAGTCCCACGGCAAGGGCAGGATTATTTTTGACATGAGCAATTGGTACTTGCACTAAACAGCAGAATACTTTTAGGCAGATGCTAAAAGTATTTTAGGAAAAAATTGACCATTAAACTGCTAAAGCATTTTTATTTGTACTCCCTGAAGTTGATGATAAGGCTAGCTCCCCTTATAGCAGTGCCCTTTTAAGAAAATCCAGTTGTGCATTTATTTCAGGAATACAGTTCCACAAACATTTGCAAACTTCCTCCAGCTACTGGAATTGGCTATGCCAAAAAATGTGTGTTTTGCTGCTTTCAGTATTTCCTTTCTCAATTTTGTGTAAATATAAATGGGGATTTGAAATTACGGGGTGGGGTGGGGATGGAAAAAAAGCTCTACGAAGTATCTATGCGTGCTGTTTTCTGTCTTGAGGGTTTTGGTACAGTTTTGGATTGATTAGTTCAAGTATGCTGTGTTTGGAGAGGAGAACTGACTTGCTTTTTATCCCAGTACAGACTTGTCCCTCAAACAAGTCTGAGATTGGGTAGTGGCGTAATGCCGTGGTGTTTTAAAGAATATTCCTTTTGAATGCAAGATCTTTTCAACAAAATAGTGTTGTCATCAGTTTGGTACTACACGCTTATAATTACTGTGTAATTATAAAGAAATACATAAAACTTAGACTAATTATGTTGCAGAAAAGGGTTATTTGTGCTATGATGGCATCTTAAATTTTTTCAAAAATGAGTGACTGAAGTTGAAAGAAACATTGATCTAACAGGGTGTTGTTCTAAGGACAAAATGCCTGGTTACAGGGAATATTTTGTATTGAAATGTGCTCAGATGTGGCCATGTGGTTTTTTCCTTTATATATTTGTGTGGTTTTTTTTTTGTTTTTTTTTTTTTATTTTAAAGAATGCAGACAGTTGCTTACTTGGATTTCTTTAATTCGTAAGTGCTTATGTCTTCAATTTGATGATCTCCCCTTAAACGGATCAATTTCATTTTGCCAAATGTCAAGGGAAAAAAAAAAAAAGCAAACATCAAGTTTGTAACCTGTTTTTATACATTAAATATGTACAAAATTAGAAGTGCCCTGATATAAAACACTTAATCTCAAGATTATATTTAGTAAAAAAAACCCCATCATTTACATATCTCTGTAAGTTCAAATGTAACTTCTTACAATCCCTCTCATTACCAACAGAGGCAATAAAGCTCCAGTGAAATTGCCATGACTAAGTCTTCTCATGCATTGTTTGAGTGTATTATTTGTAATTTATTTCTAGAATGTCCTTTTAAGCAGGGAAAAAACTTGTCTCCTGCATAAAATACACTTTATTGGCAAGTCTTTTTTTGTGGGGGTGGGGGGGTGGGGAGTAAATCTAAGAACTGCTCTAACACCTTGCCTACTGCTTGTTCTGAATGTTTACAAGTACAAAATGGAGCTGATCCTTTCCAGCTGTGCTGCAGTGACGCAGGTGAAGTGAAAGAAGCTGCCACACACAGTGCATTTGTTTAACTATGGTTGAAGACATGACTTTTTTTTTAATCAACCTGTTAATAAGTAACTTATGACTTGCTTCAAAACTGTTTTACAATGAAATTCGTACTGAGAAATCCTTATTTAAGAAAGCTATAATTTTTTAAGAATGCATTTAATAAACTTTTGTCATTCACACTTTATTTAAATAATGTTGCCAGAAGTCTCTGTAGATTTTATTTGAGTAGGGTATGCTGCCTGGTTTTGGTTTTTAAACCCATGATGCCATGATGCGCAGTGCTCTGAGCTCTCAGCAAGTAGACCAAACCATTATAAGCTTGATGAAATATGCCCTTACTGATCAGAAATAGGCCTTAGCCTTGTAAGACTTAGTTGACTGTAGAGGTATCTGCATGAGTGAACACTCAAGTTTTGCTCCTGACAGCTGAAACAGCCGCCTGCAACTGAAACCCAAGTCTGGACATTTAAGTGGGTACGAAATTCAACACCTTGCTTCTGGAAGTTCTTCCACTAACTTTGTCTTCAAGTTCTCAATTTAATAGAAGTTGCCAACTGTAATTTGAATGTTTTACATGAAATTACAACTTGATTCTATGTCTTCAGAAGCCCAAATTTCAAGCCTTGAAGTGTTTGAAGGGCAGTGGCCAAGAGTCAGAATAACCTTGTAAACCAAAGGAGGAGCAGGAAGCTGCCCAGGAAGGCTCTGAGAGATGATGGAGCTGTGAACGTCTGAGGAGAGGCCACGGGACTGCTCAGTTACATCTGCTGTTGGAAGTCCTGGGAACGACGCTCACGCTGGAATTCCCCACTAAGCAAACCTCGTGCTAGGCTCCAGGGTGAGCCGGAGCTACTGGGCTGAGTGACTGAGCTCAGCTGCTGCAGGGACCCCACTCATACAGGTACAGGGGTGTGGGCATAAAGTTGGTATGGGTCTTCTGTTACTTTTTTTTCCCCCTTCCTGGTGGACTCTCCAGCCAGAGAAGGCAGCAAGGTGAGGCCATAGGTGCTGCCCTGCTCCTGTCAGTGCTGCTGAGTCCCTGTGGCAGCAGCCATGCACATGTGCAGAGGTACTGGGGGGTGCCTGCTGCAAAGGTGCTCATAATGACCCTGGGGCTATGGAGCATCGACCCCTGCTTTACTATTGCATGTTTTTCTCTCGCACTTACACAATTAAGACAAAGACTCAGCTAGAAGTGAAAGTTTTATTTAATAAATATAATTTTCATAAACCATTTTTAAAACAACTTCTACTGACCAAGCTGTACAATGAGCAAGCACACAGACTCGCTGTCAGAGAACCAAAAATAACATGAGGCAGCCACAGTGTCAGAGGTCCAAAATTCTTAATACTATTATTGCTAGTTTCCAGTTGTCAATGCCCCTTAATTGCCTAAAATTAACATCTTAAGAAAGGTATTTCTTACAGAGATACTATCAGTCAAGATTTTTTTCTTCAAAAAAGTGAGGGAACTCGATCACGCTTTAGTGATTTAGTGAAGAAACAGGAGTCTAGTAGATTTATTTTTATGTGCACAGGACCTACAAGCTCTCACAGGACCCAAACTAGGAATTGTAAAAATATATTCTTTGCTGTAGCAATGATGCCTTATTTATACCTGAACATGAGTCTCATTTTTTAACCATTTTTCCCTTTCTAAACTATTGTCCTGTGGGTTATTGTTCATCTCATTGCCAAAAGGTTGAAAACCTGCTGATGACAGAAATAATTTCCTTTTAAATGGCTCAGGAAAAATTACTCTACACCACAGGCCATTTAGGCGCACAGACAGATCACGCTTGGTGTCGTAACAGTGTATTTCATTTCTTTCCACTTCTTGTTACAGATAGAGGTCTTCAGCCCATGGCCCCTCAAGTTTTATTCATGTCTATGCATTTATACAAACTGGAAACAACAAAAAAAGTCTTATCTACAGTGATGACAATTGTATGTACTTATTGTAATACAACATCATAGCATGGCGACAGCTAGAGCAAGGCGAATACTTCAACGTGATGAGAACATTCCTTTTAACAAAAGCCACAGAAGCTCAGGCAGCACACACGGTCTCTCTACTGCGTTATTTCTGAAGCCTCTATGAGCAGTATTTAGCTGAAGGGAAAGATCTATGGAAAGCAGAAGCCTTGCAAATACCCGTGCGAATGCTTCTAAGACGATTGACGGCAAGAGTTGATACAGCCATGAGCATCCAATCTTTCCTCCTCCTGTTATAAATTGAGTCATTCCCATAGAGAGCAGAAACCAGACAAATCATGCCACTGGAAGCAAACAACAGAAGCAAAGAACATACGAAACAACCAACAATAAAACATTCACAGAAAGGAAACAGATCTGCAAAGAAGAGTCTTAACAGGAAATCATTTAGGAACAGAAAAAATGCTAAAATTAGTCCATAATGAACAGTTCGCCCAGCTCTAGGAATAACCCCTTTAAAACAATGTTGTCTGTGTCACATGGCAGTGGCGAGTGCAGTGACGATGGTGTGAGAGGTCCCAGGTATTCTACACCAAGGAAACAAGAATCTCAAAATAAATGGTTCAGAAGCACAGTATGATTGAACACTGAATTTCACCAAAAAATCACTAATATTTAGAAGTACAGAAGTATCAGATAAAGCTATTAAAAATAATGTAGACTACAGCTTTGAGGCATTTCTAACACTAGAAAATGAGATTTATTTTTTTTTCCCAATATAGAAGTTATACTGTCATAAAAAACCATGTTTGAAAGTATTACCAAAGGTTTCCAGTAAGAAATTATAGTTTGCCTAATATGCATTCTAAGTTGCATAATCTTGTCTCAAATCAACCTTTGCACTAGAAAACAAGAAATCATTCTGAAAATGTAAAGCCAAAGTTTTCAGCATTCCTTCCTTTGCATTTTGTTCCCCCTCCCTCCCCATAAGCTTAAAAAATATACAGAATATTTTAAGCAGAGTATTTACATTTCAGTTTGTGAAGCAAAGTCAGAACATCTTCCCACTTAATCTTTTCCACAGTACCCTTTAAAAAGTGTAAGTTTGGCAACTATGTTTTTCCTAAGTAACAAAAGCAAAACCCTATTTTCACAGAACAAGAACTAAAATCTGCGGAGAACTCAGTCCTGTTCTCAAGGTGGCTATGGAGAAGGTGCTTCTTCAGAGACACTGCATAGTAAAAAGTGACTATACACCACTCTTGCTTTTAACTACTATAGGCTCTTCTACCACATGCTATGGATTTCAGAGGTAATTCTAAAACGTTTCCTCTCTATGGCAAATTCTCCCTCAGCCATTCATACTCTAACCCGGAGAGATGAATGCCAGCGTTACACTGAATTCGACGTATTTTGTTCAGTCTTCTTCATGAAGAATTCTACACTGTACCCAAAGCACAGTGAATGGTTTCATACACTTCAGCAGCCAAAGAAATACACAAAAATCTTTCTTCCTTGAATAGAAGCAATTTTAAAAGATTTGTGACATCAGTACAAAAACAGTCACTTTTTCCATCCAAAATATTTGTCAGACCAAAAAATCTGGTCTTATGCAAACCAATTCTATGTTCTTACTAAATGAGAATTTACTGATTTAGATTTACTGCAAATAGAAAAATATACCTTGGCAGACAGATGGATTCTTAAGTTCTTCCTGAATTGTTTAAATGCATGTTTCTTCGGTAACCTTACAAACACTGGGAAAAGGGAAAGTAAGGGGAAAGGGTGAAGGGGAGATGGAAGGTTTTAAAGAAACACATAATGAACGTAAATTATTCTTCAATATAGGACTGTGCTGCTTTGTGCAAATAAAATTAACATATTTGTGTGATAAAAGCCAAAATACATTTATGTACAGAGCTGAGCCAATCTAAATGCTTGGAGCGGGGTTGTATATCAAAGCCTCTGCCTTCTACTATACCCAGTTTCTATTCCAACACATGATACACTAACCACGCAGACTAATGAGGTTACACGGTCACACAAACTGACTGGATGGTTAGAATGCTATGGTTGACATGGACAGACAAATACTTCTGAGAACTGAAACACTGTGATTTAGACAAACGATACTAAACAGCAGATATCTGATTAGAGAATTTTTAAAAAATTATTTATTTCCCAGGTACCTGTGACAGTATGAAGGCTTCTAGAATGAGAAACTACTAAGAAGAAAGCAATTACTTTAAAAACAGATTTATTTTTTAATATATATTATATATATATATATATGATATATATATAAAGAGTTACAGGTGTACATGAAATCCAAATGTATTTTGTTGCTACTGCCTATCTGGAGAAAAGGTTTCTTGGGGACTGGGGACATGACAATCAGCTTACTGCATCTCCACATAGGAATTGGGTTTCAAACTATATGAAGTCAGACAAGTCCCACATTAATACCTATTACATGGAGTAAGCAAGACTCAGTTTTCAGTGATTCTTCATCATCTGGACACCCGCTGTGGGGATCTAGCATACAACTGACATTTTCAAGCTTAAGCGTCACTGCACTATGAACACAGAATTAAACTCTTATTTGAAGGGAAATTGGCTATACTTTGATTGTTTCTTCTGTTCCGTAATTAATTTTTAGAGCTTCTTAACCAATTTGGGAACTTGTCTTCATCTATACCAGTGGGCTAGAAACCTCATGTACTGCATGTTCAAGTCACTATGAGTTTCAAAACAAGGTTGCAATGACAGTTTCTTTACTACACAAACATTGCCTTGACGAGATCTTGAAAATACAGCAGTATCTGCAGCTTTCACTTTAGAGTGAAGCTTCCATTCATTAATGCAAAAATAAATTTCCATGAGGAGAAAGAATAGCACTTGAAGTCATGAACAAGAATAATGAACAGCAGAGTTGTTTCCAGGTAAGAAACATCTGAAGCATTAGATAGCAGGAAAGTCAGACCTCTTGAACATTTCCTCTCCTGCAGCTCACTGAACTTGGGAGAATTTGGGATAACAAGAGGGATACACTCCTCTGGCAGCAGCCTAGGCCCCACTGAGGTGTCATACCGGGATGGTTAAGATGTGGCTGCCTTGATGATGAAATACAAAGTATTTGCTACAGAATTTGCTTGGGAGACAGCACTTAAGCCAACAGTGGAAACTTGTGCAGGCAGGGTGAAAGCTTCTAATCCTGGCTTTGTCCAAATCCTACACTTAACTACATCTTTATTACAGAAATTCTTGTAGGTGTTATTTACAGTCTGATTGATTTGCAGTTTATTCCACCCAGAGATAATTTTAATATTCAGCTTTTACTGTCTGGCAGGAAGATTCTTCCAGTTACTGATGGGACTTCAGTGTCAGTGACTGACTTAAAATTGGATATCCAAACAAGGGTCAGAAGCAGCAGCATTTTTACCACTCTCCAGTCATAAAAACTGCCGTACCCAAGGCAATGCTCTACGACAGCACCTCCATTTCATCTCCTACATCTAAAGGCAACCAATAGGTTTAGTCATCCTGGCTGAACGCGCAGGCAAATGTCAGCCCCAAACATGCAGACAAGTTTATAATGGGAGAACAGATGTACCTGCAAGATGTACCATTCAAAGCTCCATCTGTGCAATTTGTTTTTATTGGCATACTCAGGTATCAGAACATTGCCATCAATGTCTCAGATCCTTCAGACATATGAAGATAATTAAGCATTAACTGTATCTTCAAAGTACAACATGACCAAATATAAATACATGAAAAAGAATAAAACATGCAAAAATTCCCCAACTTTAAAAGGATTAGTAATTCAAAAAATTTATGCTAGTGATACTTCAGCACAATCCACCAATTCTTACATATTCTTCCATGTCAGGATCAAGAACTGTTAACAAAACACACGGAGCATAATAAAAGATGACTGGCTTCTCGATTATACCTTAAGGGAACAATGAACTGTTATAGCCCTTATTATTGCTGATTATCGATTTGTCAAAGTTAACAGTGTTTTCCAAAGCAATGACTAATATATTGCCATTCATACACCAGCATAAATATTTGAATTGTATTTAATTCTCAAAAATTACTAAAGTGATTGCTTACAGAATACAGTAACCGTCCAGGGAAATAACAAAATTGATTTGCAGACTGCTAAGACAGCATCTGTAAGAGACAGCTCAAAATTAATGTGTATGTTCAAAGTGAAGGGTCATTATGAAAAAATGCATCTTTTTAAAAGTTCTGTGTGCAAATTCAGTTCTGTTGGATCACTCGAATTTGGGAGGAGAAAGATTTTGTCACTGTGTTAAAATGACATCTCAAGTATTGAATGCAGGATTCCCAACTGCTCACATGGTAACAAAAAAGATTAGATGGTCAGAGGTAAAAACATTCCCTTACAAAAGAAAATTATTTTTTTTAGCAATCTGTGGATATAATTAGAAAAAAAATACTGGAAGCGATTACTGTCCAGATGACTTATGCTAGGCCACAAGACAAGCCACGGTTTGCATTTAGAAGTCATGCTAGTCTTTTCTAGGGCAGGGATGAACTCACTTCAGAACCTACTACAGGTGTGTGAGCACCACATGGCTTCCACAAGGCATTTACAAATGTCCCTGTTAACAAGTGGGTGAGTCCATTGTGGAGAGAGTCAAGATGCTTCTGTCGTTGGCATAGAAGGGATCCGATGAACTCCATGATCTAAAGTAACAATAAAAGAAAAATTTGGCTGACTGGGAACTTAGAATCTAAAGGTGAGGAGAAAAGTCTATGAAAGTGAGATAGAAGTGGTATGAGAATTGGCAAATGTAACTCTTTAAAAAGATCGATCTATTAATTTCATGTAGGCACCTGCAATACATTCAAACCTTTGAAAACAGACTGCAATTAATCATGCCAACTATGTAATTAATAACTCTATGTTTACCTTTCTGGCAAAGTTTAATCACAGCGACAGATATTTTCATCACTATCAACTAAAATGACCAGAGGTTTATATGCATTTTACAGCTAAAATGTTAGTACTGTGCCTCAAGGAAAATCCGAGTGTTGCATGTGTAGGTTGAGGCACTGTGCCTGCTAGGATTTGATACAGCCTAAGGTCGTTCTAGGAAAGCCTTGTGGTATGTGCAGCCCTGTGGTAACCCAGTAAACCGGTGTTCTAACGTCAAACATCCACGCTGCCTCAAGTTGTGGGTAGGCAAAACTCACCTACAGCCATGGATCTATTGCATTCTTTACGGTTAAATTTTAAAGCATCAGGAAAAGCGACCTAACACATCACAGCTTTTGATTCAGATAGGATCTTGCAATGTCCTTCTCTTAAGGACAAATTGCTACTTAGGAAGAATTACTGTATGTGAAAAGCTAAAAATAGAGGTTGGAAGGCAGGAAATCAAAATGTAACAAATTTATCCTCCAAATTTGCCTCTGTCAGAAATCTGCTGTTTCTTTAGAACTTTTACATGTGGTGCCTTGACACAAGTACCACTAATGGCAGTTCTGAACAACTCGGTAATGAATCCTACTGGACAGGAAATGTATGTGACCCAGCATTCTCAGTATTTGAGTGACTGACAAGTTGACAGACAATTTGATGGAACAGACAGACAAAAATGCATTTTATCATACCACACCACACATTTATATGCTAACTGGTAAATGAAGCTATATAGAAAACACTTCTCAAATACATTTTACAAGCAGTAAATTAAGTACAAGAGACTATATTCCTGTGGCCCACTACTCCAAGCATTTGTACAACTTTGATTCAAAGATTCTATCAGTATTTGATACCACGTTTGATTTCAGTTATCATATTTGACAGAATATCAGGAGCGCATAATACAACACAAGCTACCTACAGCAACATTAATTAAAATAGTGCTCTTCATTCTACAGCACTCTCACAGACAATATATTTATCAGCATCACTTCATTTGACAAAAGTAATTTGCAGCTACCTCCTGGTTGAATAAGCAGCTGTTTTATAAAGCACAAGTGCTCAAAAGACCATCCTGCCTGGGACTGCACAATCTTCTGAGGATACCAGCTTTAGGTAAAAATCAAAGCAGACCAAGCTCATGAACAAAGGGTAAACAATTTCAAAAGCATTTTAAAATCATCAAATAGATTTCTTAACCTTTCACAACCTGTAACTGCCTCAAGTGATTTAAGCAATTAGTACATTAAAAATAAACAAATACTTTCACATATTACCAGGAATGTGTAAGCAAAAAAAATAATCTTAGTATCTTGACTTTTAGACTAGTGTTCAAGTGTCAGTACCGAGTGGAAGGACCTGAAGTCATTAAGAGAGCAAGTAAGACCAAAATTTAAAAACCCAAGTCTTTTCTAGTCATACTGTACATAAATCTAAGTAAAACTAGAAGATGGTTCAGAGTAATTTCAAACAGAGGCAGAAGTAAAAACTAGAGAACTTCAAGCTCTTAGTGTAGCACCGACAGTTTTGCATATTCATTAAACATAATACTAACTTCTGTGTTCTAACAATTCTAGGCTTATTCAGCTAGATGGAACTTTGTCTGAAAATTACATGAAGTAAGCAGACAAGAAACATGAGAAAAAGCAGCCTTAAAAAAGTGTTTAATATTCTGTCAAATATGAATTATCTTCAATAAAAATTTGTAAGTTTTTAAAGAAAGAAAAAATGAGTGGAAAATAAGAGGAAATTGTAAAAATGCAAACACACTGCAGAAAATAAACACAGAATACCTACCTTGTAAGACTACATACATTACTAAGGCAAATGTTAACTAAAAATCTGCCCTAGTTTGATATTAATAAATGAAAAAAGTAACATGAGTAGTTCCTCATTTGAAAAGCACAGTTTTACAGAGAAGTGGAAAACAATACCAAAAAATGTAGAGCAACTGCTACAAAAATGTTGATTTTTAGACCAATTAAATGCTCACCTTGTAGATTAAAAATTCTATTAAATTGTTTATTTTATACATCATGCCCACTTTCTATACAGCAAGAGTTTGAATTAAAAAAAATGTATTAAATCATAACAGTTCATTTTTCATATGGAATGAAACATTTTGCATAATCATACCCTAGATTTGTAGAAATGTTGAATAAATTTCATAAGCAAGCCAGAAGAGAGAAACTGAAACCAGAGACACTGTGTTCAACACAAGAGTTCAAATCAGATGTACTACACACCATGTCAATACCTAAAGGCAGAACCAGAACTGACAAAGCTTGTCAGTGAAAATTACCCACACAAGATTTTATACTCAGTGAATGATATCACAACCTTTAACCAAAGGAGAAAGTTGTTCAAATAGAAAATAAGTTTCCTTGAAAATGTGTGAAGTGCAACTTTTTCAGGTTTGCCCTTTGACCGGTGAAGGACCATGATATCATTCAGGGACTGAGAGATTACGATGTACAAAGGACTATTTTTATTTCTACCCCCAAATATTTCCATGTTTGTTAGCTATCCCTCTTTATTTGGAAAAGGGGAGATGGCACATTAGCAGATTTAATAAGAGCTTTTCTCACAGTTATGCTGATTGCAAGAGCAGTACTGCTCCTTAGATGTATCTGATCACTCTAACATGTTTTTATCCCATTGAGGTTTGTTCCACATGTGGTTGGTGAAGGAAGGAAGATTTATTTAGCACGTACTTTGGAATGGCACACATGAATTTGACAATATACCTTCCAGAACAACAAAAAAAAAAAAGTTTAAAATTCTTAGAACCTGAAGGCTCTGTTCTGTCAATTGCTCTGATTTTAGAAATAGATTATAAAAGTTATACTACAAAAATATTTTATCTTCATATCAATCAATGGCTGAAAGATTTAAATACTCTCCTTCTAACAATGAGGTTATATTTAAGGGGGGGAGTGTGAGCCTTTTGTATATCTTCAGGAGTAATGCAAGCTCCAAGGCAAATATTTGGAGGTTGTACATCAAGAACCAAAGGGAAAAGTCTTTTGACTTTACAAACAACTCCTGATTTGTGAAGGAAAAAAAAAATATAATAAAAGAGAACAAAATCAGCAGCAAGGCTTGATTTTCTAAAGAGAAGAATGTACAAATTAAGAGAAATTATGACAGATACAACGCAAGAACTTGCAGTAAGCCGAACTAAACGTTTTAACAGAGATCTTTTGAAAACTGTTTTTTCCCCTCCCATCCCAAAAGAAAGCACTCAAAAAGAAATAAGAAACTATTCTTTTAGGATGAAAAAGTACAATAAAGAGTTGTATTTCCTACTTAAATAAGCAAAACCTGCAGCTGGTTTGCTAGACATCTATTGCTGCAGGCTCATCAGGTTCCAGTTTATAGGAGAATCGTCTGCAGCAAAGGCTATTGAGAGAAATGCCACACCTGTTGACCCGGGTTGGACTACATCTGCCCATTAGTCGTTCCAGCATTCTTCTAACAGATGTGCATGCTGTTTCCCCATCTGAGAAGCAGCACATGGAGTCCAAGCAGTTGATACCTGAACCTGCCTCAGTAAGCTGGAAGGAGAAAATAAAATAAAATAAAATAAAATAAAATAAAATATATCAGTACTTACAGATTCTAGCAATGAAGATGTTACCAGAAAACATTTAGGAAAAGCAGGTTTTCTTAAAGTTAGAGTGTTGAATATTTTTCAATTTTACAGGAGAACTACAATGATGACTAACATTACCATTTCCTTTACTAAAAAGAAAATTTTTGATCTTCCCAAGGTTTGAATGCAGCCTTGGTGAGCGTATGAAAATCGTTTAGCACCATCTCTGCTTAACCTTGGAAATAAACTGGTTAGAAATTCTCTGCATTACAGCTAAAATGAACGTTTCGAGCAGTGTCATGCAGTTTAAGCTGTGATGCCTTGATTGCCCTCAACAATTTATAAAAGCTGCAGGTCTGCCCTATTTTAAGGGAAATCTATCAAGAGGAAGCTTCAAATCATGGCTGCAGAAAACAATGCAGCAACCTGATCGTAAGTAGTATTTTTTCCTTAAGAAGTGCAGAATGCAACTTCCTATAGTGATTTAAATTATATCACTACCATAGATACCCTTGGCTCGGTAAGGAACAAAAGCACATTCCTGATTTTGTGAATATCTTTTACTCAAATGCAAACAAGGCTGATGTTAGAAAGGTTCAGTCATGTTCATGTCAGCATGAAGAATAATTCCACATTAGCATAACAGACTTCCTATTGTTCGTTCTCTATAGACAGGAAAAAGACCCAAACAAAATGAAAGCAGTAATACAGAGATGGACATGTTTAAGTCAAGCGCCATCTATCAGTGTGCTCCTCTATTGTTATTGCACACTAGTCAACTGCAGCATAACTATAATCTGAAATCTAGTACTGCTGGAGAGAGAATAACCAAACCTGACTTCAGTATCTTTTCCAAAAGGAACTAAAAAAAGTGGAGTTTTAATTTAATTTCATGTTTTAATTTAATTTAAAACTCTCCATGAGAGCATCCTGTCAGACAAATGCCAAACACACTGGATAAATTTAAGCATCCATTACCTTCACCTCACTCCCAGACACCATGAAGGAAGACATCTGGGAGGAGGCATCATAGTCTGACAGAACACGGCTCACTTACGAGCTCCCCCCAGCTTTTCGCCATGTGACCAAAGGTCGCTGACTGTTGTCCGAAGACTTTGGTTTCCAATCCCAATTTCTTTCACACCACCCACACTTGCCCAACCCCGCAAGGAAAGCAAAGAACCTCAGTTTCCTGTGGGAACAGTTTACTGTGAGTGGACATGTTCCTTTCTAATCGCCTTGAAACAAGCAAGCGCACAGATTACAGCTCCCTAACAGAACAATTCCTATACTACAAAGAAGAGATAGCTAACAGAAACAAGAGGCATTTGGAAACACAAGAGAAAAATCCCAGCTGGTAGGACAAGGAGGGAGCACAGAGGCTGAACTGGTGTTTCCATGCATCATTTCCTATGCCTGCTGCTTCCCTCAGCTCCGGTCTGCATTCCCTATGGTGCCTCCAGATCTTCCCATCACACCGCCTAACGTGATGCTTGCAGGATTGCCAGTTAGCAAAGCCTTACAAACGGAAACCCTTGATTTGGTCGCTACACTCGGAGGCCATGAATGAGCGCAGGCAGCACACACACTTCTGATTAACTCGCACTCTTTTGGGAGCTCTTCTGGACACAAACTGAACGTTTACTGTGACAATGAACTTCTGTAAATATCTGAGAGGCAGGAGCAGAAGCCCTGCAACCGACAGGTCTAAAAGGGGTTCTGGATTAAACCAAACCAAAACAAACCTCAACAGAGCTTCAGAGCCTGAACACCCTTAATTTGATGACCACATCAAGTCACGATTGTACTGTCCCAGAAGATGCCCTAACTAGGAACAGCACAACCTGCAGCATTGCCATACTAGCACATAGGACCTTCAGAGTCACTTCACTCTGCGCTCACAGTGTATAAGAACAGAAATTACAGAACAGAAATAGGAATTCCTATTAGGAGGTCAGAAAGCAAACTCCCTGCTGCACATGCAGCAATCTTCACAGTTGCGTTCACAGATACAAAACAAACTCTCAACATTCCTACATTTAGGATATCAAAAAGAATATTTAGTCCATCCATTACCTTGAAGCAGACCAAGTAATACCTTTGAAGTTATCGTGAGAGGTCATATTACAGTGGTTGTATGTAGTATCAGATGGACCAGACATTTTTTTTTCCCCCTAGAATCTGATGACCTGAGAGCTAGCCTGAGTCCTAGGTGGCAGAAAGAGAAAGCAAGAGCAACCTAAGCAAGCTCCCAAGGGGTGAGCCCTCAGCTCTGGATTTTGGAGAGCTGGTGTCTCTTCCTTCATGAAAATCTCCTTTGTTCTTAAGTTAGATACTCACAAAAAGCTAGGATCATGCTTGAACCACGATTTATGGAAAAGTTAATACTACCCTCTTTTAAAAAACAGAAAATGTGACCTTATATAAGCCTGGAAACAACACATGTTTTATCAAACTCACAGTTAAGTGTAGAGTAACCCTGGGAGACCATTAAGGACAACATAAAAATAAATTCAATTTTATGTGCAGATATATTGTGTATCACTGCCTGATGAATGTGGATTTTTATTATATCTACTACCTGGAAGGAAAATGCTTATATTATGCTAAAGAGTCCCTTTTCTCACTTTTCTCTCTGTGGCAGACAATTATGATCATAGTTTTTTATCAAAGTAAAACCTGGCATGGTAAGGCAGTACAGCATAATGGTCTCTGATAACCTAAACCAAACCCTCAGGAACAAAAGGCAGGAGAGACAATGCTGGTTTGTTTTTGGTTTTGGTTTTGTTTTTTTTTTTAAATAAAATCAGTAAGTATAGAGAAATATTTGATATTATTCCTATTTGGCCTGCAAATAAAGGATTTTCATAAGGCAAGATCCAGTATCACAATAAACATAATACTTTATATGATAATGGCCCATTTCATGTAATAAATCAAAAAGCAACTGAAGTGCAGAAGAATGATTCAGCTTGATAAAGAAAAAAAATCAAACCCACACACCATGATGCAAATTTTCTTGTAGATACCAAAAACATGAGTATTTTGGAGATGGCGCCATGACTGTCTATATATGATATATATAAATATATATGTATATACACACACATTAGGTAGAGTGGGAGTACTACCTAGTGAACGTAAGAACTGTCGGGTAGGCTAGATGGATCTAGCAGTTGCCTATTGTCCTCCCCTCTGTGCCTGCTTTCAGCAAAGTCACATGCTGAGCTGACTGAACCCTTATCTTCTTCCATCTAGAAGGACAGAAAAGCAACAAATCTTATAAAGCACCATGCTTGCATTGCTTTAACTGTTACCATTTTTATATGAATTTTCATTTTACAGATCTGTTCCTGAGAGAACAAGGCATATTTACAAGTTAAAAAGGCAATTTTTTTCAAGTTAGTCGGTGGATCAAACACAGCTTATCAGTGCAAAAGTATCAGAAGTTTTCCATCTTTCTGTGCACCACAGACTACAAAAGGGGAAAACCCAACAGATTTGAAATCTACTTCAAATTTTCAGATGTTGGTTTGAGATTTTGGAGTTTTATTTGTTTCCCCCCCTTCTAACGAAAAGGACGATTTCAGTTTGTTTGTCTTACTACAGGGTATTTTATACACCACAAGACAGACATTTCAACTAAACATTGAATCACAGTGAAATACACAGTTGTGACTTTGTTGAACAGGAAACGTGTTTAGTCCTGTACGTCAAGTGAAGAGCCCTGCAGCATATCTTCCTGAGCCCAGGTCCTACTGCCAACATGTCTGATGCCACACGGACATTTCAGAAAACATATATGAGACGGTTTATTACTATTCCACAACTAAGTTAAAACGTGCTCCCTCCTGTAAAGCTCACCTTACCCCCTAATATACCTTATACCAAAATCCCAAACATTTAGATTTAATTTTTTTTTTTAATGTAAGAATGTTGACATCTAACAACTTCACTGGCACTTACGTTTTCAAAATTTTTCTAGCTGTTCTACTCTTCAACTCTTTGATTCAAACCTACAAGTGCCAAATTATTTCATTATTTCAAAGTCATTAGACAAGAGTATCTTCAAGTAAGTAAGTATGTACTTTCATGACTTAAGATAAATAGTAAATAGTCTGTTCTTCTATTATTTATTCCCTCTTCCTGCAACAGATTCTATGGATTAGCTAACATATCAGCACCACGCTATGCTAACACAGTATACAAACCTGTAAAGGACAAGATTACCCTTATCCAAAGTTTAGCATATTAAGATGTTCTGGTACACTTCACTAGTGCGAATGCAAGTTTGCACTTGAATACTATTCTTGGAAACTATACATTCCTTACAGAAAACATATGCTGTAAAAGCAACAGAAACCTGTCCCCGACAGCTGGGCTGGATCAGATATGAAAGCTATTAGGAGGGGAATCCTATGAAATAGTAACTAGAGGGAAAAATACAGACAGGTAATGAAGGCTGTAAAGCCAAGACCAGGAGCCTGGAGTTCTGGAGACAGCTAAAGAAAGCAGACCTGTACAGAGATGAAGGGAGCACAGGGCAACAACAGACTCATGGGCCTGCAGATGGGGAAAGAACAGGATGTTGGCTGTGCTAAGGCAAATGGTACAGTTTGAGAGTCCCAGATAAAACACTGTGCACTGAGAGCCTTCCCTGTAAATAAAAACCTTTTTTGTGTCTTACATTTCCCTAGTACTGCATACAATCGTAACATCCTCTCCAAAGGCAAAAATTGTATAAACACAGTTAATCCAATCAGTTATTAGAATTAAAACATCTGTCCGAGCAACACTTCTCACATGTGGCTTAAGATTTCTGACAGTTCTTACAAAGCACAGAGACATGTATATATACATACACACACAAAACTGTTTACAAAGAAAAAACTTAAATGAGATACAACGGGGCCCTGTTAGTACCCTAAGATAAACGTTTCACATGTTCCAAGAACAGGAGAG